AAAAGTCATAGTATAGTATGGCATAAAAAGTCATAAAAACGTCATAGTATAGCAAGGCATAAAAAGTCATAGTATAGTATGGCCTAAAAAGTCACAAAAAGGACATATGTTACAACCCGGCTCACAGGGGAAAGGGAAGCAACACAAAACCCAGTTGGTATTATGTATAAGGTTGTTTATTGTAATGTAAATTGTAAAAATAATGGTTTATATGGACAAAAAACACAAACCAAGGAAAGGGGCCGGTGGGTGCTGTCCAAACCAAAAACAGAATATAACAAAAGGAGGACTCTATGAGCTAATCAGTAAAACTATTTACCCAATTGAAATTAAAAGGAAAAACAAAACTGGCTACCAAGGCCAACTAAAGAACCAAAACACACCAGGAACACCCCCCCTTGCTCCTAGTGTATGTAACAATACAAATGGCTACAAGTGGAGAAACCAGCCAAATCAGTTGAAGTATAAAATCTAAACCTGACCCCACATCCAGGCTTCCAAGGTTACGATCAGTAAAATACAACAAACAAACTGTCGCAGAACAAGCGACCACTTAAGGTTCACACAGTACAAATGTCCTTCCAACAACGAGGCGAGCTGCCACTAACAGTCAGCTGCCTGGACTGACAGGTGGGCCGGAGCTTTATAGCTGGTGGTTCCTGATTGGGCGGCAGGGATTGGCCAGCTGCAAACAAACCGCACCAATCAGGCCAGAGAGGGTGGAGCATCCGGGTGGACGGAGCAGGCCGCTGGCAGGCAGCCTGGCAAACAGGAAAATTAAACACAACAAAAATGGCCAGAGTGGCGGCCGTAACATATAGTAAGGCATAATAACAATAAACAATAATAAAAACGTCATAGTATAGTAAGGCATAAAAAGTCATAAATACGTCATAGTGTTGTATGGCCTAAAAAGTCATAAAAATGACATAGTATAGTAAGGCATAAAAAGTCAAATTATAGTAAGGCATAAAAAGTTATAAAAACGTCATAGTATATTAAGGAATAAAAAGTCATAGTATAGTATGGCCTAAAAAGTCAAAAAAAGGACATACTATAGTAAGGCAATAAAAGTCATAAAACGACATAGTATAGTAAGGCATTAAAAGTCATAAAAACGTCATACTATGGCAAGGCATAAAAAGTCAAAAAAACGACAGTATAGTAAGGAATAAAAAGTCATAGTATAGTAAGGCATAAAAAGTCACAAAAATGACATAGTATAGTAAGGCATAAAAAGTCATAAAAACGTCATAGTATAGTAAGGCATAAAAAGTCATAAAAACGTCATAGTATAGTATGGCCTAAAAAGTCATAAAAATGACATAGTATAGTAAAGCATAAAAAGTCATAGTAATGTAAGGAATAAAAAGTCATAGTATAGTAAGGCATAAAAAGTCAAAAACATTTTACTATAGTAAGGCATAAAAAGTCATAAAAACATAGTATAGTATGGCATAAAAAGTCATTAAAACAACATAGTATAGTAAGGCAGAAAAAGTCAAATTATAGTAAGGCAAAATAAGTCACAAAAACGACATAGTATAGTAAGGCATAAAAAGTCACAAAATTGACACAGTATAGTATGGCATAAAAAGTCATAAAAACGTCATACTATGGTAAGGCATAAAAAGTCAAAAAAACGACATAGTAATGTAAGGAATAAAAAGTCATAGTATAGTAAGGCATAAAAAGTCAAAAACATTTTACTATAGTAAGGCATAAAAAGTCATAAAAACATAGTATAGTATGGCATAAAAAGTCATTAAAACAACATAGTATAGTAAGGCAGAAAAAGTCAAATTATAAGGCAAAATAAGTCACAAAAACGACATAGTATAGTAAGGCATAAAAAGTCACAAAATTGACACAGTATAGTATTGCATAAAAAGTCATAAAAACGTCATAGTATAGCATGGCATGAAAAGTCACAAAAATGTCATAGTATAGTAAGGCATAAAAAGTCATAAAAACGTCATAGTATATTAAGGCATAAAAAGTCATAAAAACGTCATAGTATAGTATGGCATAAAAAGTCATTAAAACAACATAGTATAATCAGGCATTAAAAGTCATAGCATAGTAAGGCATAAAAAGTCACAAAAATGACATAGTATAGTAAGGCATAAAAAGTCATAAAAACGTCATAGTATAGCATGGCATGAAAAGTCACAAAAATGTCATAGTATAGTAAGGCATAAAAAGTCATAAAAACGTCATAGTATATTAAGGCATAAAAAGTCATGAAAACGTCATAGTATAACAAGGCATAAAAAGTCATAGTATAGTATGGCCTAAAAAGTCATAAAAACATCATAGTATAGTAAGGCATAAAAAGTCATAGTATTGTAAGGCAAAAAAAGTCATAAAAACATTATTGTATAGTAAGGCATAAAAAGTTATAAAAACGTCATAGTATATTAAGGCATAAAAATTCATAAAAACGTCATAGTATAGCAAGGCATAAAAAGTCATAGTATAGTATGGCCTAAAAAGTCATAAAAACGACATACTATAGTAAGGCATAAAAAGTCATAAAAACGTCATAGTATAGTATGGCATAAAAAGTCATAAAAACCTCATAGTATTGTAAGACATAAAAAGTCATAGTATAACAAGGCATTAAAAGTCATAGTATAGTAAGGCATAAAAAGTCACAAAAATGACATAGTATAGTAAGGCATAAAAAGTCATAAAAACGTCATAGTATAGTATGGCCTAAAAAGTCATAAAAATGACATAGTATAGTAAGGAATAGAAAGTCATAAAAAGTTATAGTATAGTAAGGCATAAAAAGTCATAAAAAAACATAGTATAGTAAGGCATAAAAAGTTATAAAAACGACATATTATAGTAACGCATTAGAAGTGATAATATAGTAAGTAATAAATAGTTAATGTATAGTAAGGCATAAAAAGTCATAAAAACGACATAGTATAGTAAGGCATAAAAAGTCATAAAAACGACATAGTATAGTAAGGTATAAAAATTCATAGTATAGTAAAGCATAAAAAGTCATAAAAACGACATGGTATAGTAAGCCATAAAAAGTCATAGTATAGTGAGGCATAAAAAGTCATAAAACGTCATAGCATAGTAAGTCATTAATAGTTATTGTATAGTAAGGCATGAAAAGTCATAAAAACGTCATAATAAGTCATAAAAAACGACGTAGTATAATAAGGCATAAAAACGACATAGTATAGTAAGGCATAAGAAGTTATAGTATAGTAAGGCATGAAAAGTCATAAAAACGTCATAAGTCATAAAAAACAACATAGTATAATAAGGCATAAAAACGACATAGTATAGTAAGGCATAAAAAGTCACAAAAATGACACAGTATAGTAAGGCATAAAAAGTCACAAAAAGTCATAAAAACGTCATAGTATAGTAAGGTATAAAAAGTCATAGTATAGTATGGCATAAAATTATCAAAAAAACATCATTGTATAGTAAGGCATAAAATCATTGAAAAACGTCATAGTATAGTATGGCATAAAAATGATAAAACGTCATAGTATAGTATGGCATAAAATTTTCAAAAAAATGTCATTGTATAGTAAGGCATAAAATTGTCAAAAAAAAACGTCTAAGTATAGTATGGCATAAAATTACCAGCATGACTTAAAATCATCAAACAACGTCATAGCATAGTAAGGCTTAAAATGTTATAGTAGAGTATGGCATAATATTTATAAAAAATGTGTTAGTATAGCATGGCATAAAATAATCAAAGACGTCATCAAAAAACGTCATAGTATTGTATGGCATAAAATCTCAAAAAACCTTATAGTACAGTATGGCATAAAATTGTCAAAAATAAGTCATGGTATAGTGAGGCATAAAATGTCATAGTACAGTATGGATTAAAACGTCATAGTATAGTATGGCATAAAATTGTCAAGAAAAAGTAATTGGTTGGTATGGCATAAAATTATCAAAAAAACATCATAACGTATGGCATAAAATCAACAAAAGACGTCATAGTTTAGTAAGGCATAAAACCTCATAGTATGGCATAAAACCAAAAAAAAAAAAAAAAAAAAAAAACGTCTTAGTATAGAATGACATAAAATTTGTCAAAAAAATGTCGTATAGTAATGCATAAAATTATCAAAAAAAACATCATAGTATGGCATAAATTGTCATAGTATAGTATGGAAGAAAATTTAAAAAAAAAAACGTCTTAGTATAGTATGGCACAAAATTCATCAAAAAAAACTCCTATTATAGTATGGCATAAAATTCTCAAAAAAAACAACATAGTATGGCATACAATCATCAAAAAAAGGTCACAGTATAGTATGGAATAAAATTTTGAAAAAACGTCAGTATAGTAAGGCATAAAATGTCTTGGTATAGTATAGATTAAAACGTCATAGTATAGTATGGCATAAAATTATCAAAAAAATGTCATAGTAAGGCATAAAAACATAAGAAAATGTCATAGTACAGGAAGGCAGAAAGATGTCATATATAGGTTATATATATATATGTCAGTATAGGACGGTATAAAAACGTAAAAAATATCATAGTATAACAAGGTAAAAAAACTTGCAAACGTTATCGTGTAGTTAGGCATTGAAATGTCATAGTATAGTAAGAAATAAAAACGTGATAGTATAACAAGCCAGAAAAAAAATTGATCCTATGCGCATTTCTTTGGACTGCGGGAGGAAGCCGGTGTACTTAGCGAGAACACAAGAAGGCAGGAGAACATGCAAACTCCACACAGAACAGGTCCTAGTCCTGGGTGTCCACATCTACCAAAATTTTTGTTGCCAAACTTCCATTGCAACACAACTGAAAAACCCAGAGGGAAATTTAAACTAAAAAGACTTGAGCGCTTCCTTTTTTAATGGTTTTTTTAATACATAAAATCCAGACCATCTAGTCCAGACCAATCACACTTACTCAGTTATACGCTCAATGTAAAGCAGATACTTTTTTTTTTTTTTTTTAACAGTATAGAATATACAGCTGTATGACCTCGAAATCACAAGTTTCATGATAATTAGGCAGGGTAACTGTACAACCCAGTTTTCGAGGGTTTTGCATTATAAATAGCATAGTCACACATTAAATACTGTCCTTGGGAACCCATTTATTTAAAATGTATGTAGGACATGTCATGCTTTTAATACAAAAATATTCCAAACACTGTACACTGGTTCTCAACATGTGCAAAATGTAAAAAAAACATATTTACAACTCCAGTTAACAGGGAGAAAGAGGAGGACAAGAGAAAATAATTTCCACAAAATCTTAATAGTCATGTTGACTGAGGTTTAACCTGGAGTCCAAACACTTTGAAACGTTCTGATCAGAGTTAATAAACCTCCACTTAATCTGAAACACAAATACAACATACAACACACAGTAAACAAAAAGTCTTTACAGTTTGTGCTGAGAGGAATTTAAAAAAAAGGAACAGAATTTTACATTAAAACATATAAAAACATGCATCAGGTTAGAAGCACACAACATATTTTCAGCTAAGTACTTATAAGCTTAAAATGTAACATTAAAGTTACATTTACTGTACATTGCACATATTGTGCAGCAGAATTGATCCAATTGTGAATAAAAAAGTAAAATAAACATGATGGAAATAGTTACAACCAGGCACATTCAGGTTGATTACTGAGGTTAATTAGCTGGAATGTTGCCTTGTCGTCAAGGCTTCATAAAACAATGTAAGAAAAAAGAAATATAAGAACAGTTTCCAGTTTTCATCCAATGAGAAGTGCAACGCACTCGAACATTCATACACGGTCCTCTCATATGCAAACTCCTCACTCTCCCATTCACATCCAGACACAAGACTCTGATCCACATTCACGTCCTCGGTCAGTCCAGCAGCAACAAGTGTTCTGTCTTTAATTACAAAGTCTTTCAACTAAAAGCCAAGGTCTTGTTCTTTTTTTTCATTTCATCTGTAGGAGTTTCATCCTGTTTCCTAAAAAAAGAAGGAAAAATAATTAGCTGCTGAAATGTACCCTTCAGAGGAAAACATTTGATGTCAGAGCAACACTCACCCAGTCCTTTAAGAAATTTGTTCACACCACTTGGCTCCGGCTCAGGATACGAATCCAGATACTCGGCCACTCTGACTTCAAAGAGACCTGAGACAAAGATGGAAATGTTCAGACATCAGGAGAAAATGAGGGAAATCTATGTTCAAATAAACAAGATTTAGATTTTCTTCATGTGCAGCATAGATTATGGTTCTGGCGTTTGCAATTATCTTCTTAACCCTGTTCTTGAAATATCCTGCTATTTGGTAAAAACATGTCGCGAGTGACTCATTCATTTTAGATCATATGTCTGGTTTAATATGATTGAATTAAACTCTACATTTATTTAATAGATTGTGTGGAGACATCCGACCTCATTACTCCAACTTTTATGTGAAATCTTGTTAAGATGACATTTAATACGTTCTTCACAAACATCACGCTACTCATAAAACCTCCAGCACTTATTGTACAAGCAGAAGGGTTGCAAATCAATGGCTAAATTTAGTGAGGTGAATTATTATTATCAGAATTATTGACATTTTCCCCTTTTACTTTTTGTATTTTTTGATTGCACAGTTTGCATTTGTTTTCACAGCTTGGGCACATTCAAAAGGTATTAATTAGGCAGAAATGAAATCGAACCACAGATTCATATGATAAAAAATTCATGTCATAGATAAATCCAAGTATTAGCTTGAAGGACAATGGTAGAGAGTGCTTATTTTTCTTCCTTTTCACTGTTATTATAAAAAAGTAGTTCCAATCTATTAGAACTGTGTGTACAAACTTTGTTTTGCCTTTTCTGAACTCTCATAGAGTCTTGTAAGAAAAAAAAAAAAGTTAATATGTTTTTAAACAATCTGTCGTCGTTGCTTCATCACTGTTACCTCTTCCTCCTCCCTTGCGCAGCTCTTTGTCCTGAATGAACCCAGCGAACATCTGAGTGTCCATGAAGAGCTGCAGGAACTGGCGGACTCCGCGGGAGGGGTGAGATTTGCGGAAGCTGTCGCGCTGAAGCTCCCTGCTTCCGCGGGAGGACTCGACCATGTGGAGAGGATAGTGGCCCACCAGCTCCACGAAGAACCGCACAAAACTCTCTGACAGCAGGGAGCTCAGGTCAGCCTGCTGGCCTGGACGGACAGACAGACGGATGGGTGAAGAGATGAATAACTTAACGTTTTCCAAAGCAAGTGAACTCCAGACTGATCTGACACATCACAGAGTTTCATAAAATACTGCAACAGGCTTGTGCCAAATTCTGAGCCATGTTACATTATGAATTAATACTGAGCACAAACTGATATGGCAAATCATAATCTAGTTAACAACATTAACAGGTCATCAGTGAACATCTGATTAAAGTTGAGAAACGCAGAGTAAACTAAAGGATTTGCAGCAGTCTGCAGGTCATCAGTAGTGCAGGCGTGATGCACAGCTGGCATTTGCAATTCATTTCTAAACATCCCCTGATCATATGTTAAACTAAGCAAAAAGATAAGAGCTGATGGTGCTGTGATGAAAAACAGGACCTGCAAAAATTCTTTATCACTGTAGACAAGAAGAAAAAGGAACATGGAGATGCCGAGACAGTTAAGGGCTTTACAATCAGTGAGCGAGGTACCTGACTGGCATGCAGCACACAATTGTCTGTTATACCCACCTCCAAAACTGTCTCCATCCTCCTGTCTCAGGATCTCTTCCCTCTCCTCCAGGACCTGCTGCAGTGCTGCCTGCAGTTTACTGGGCAGGATGCAGTCTTCATCACCCAGCTGTCACACAACACAGGACAGGTCAACAGCAGTCGCATAAAACATGCATCTAATCCACTCTCAAGAACAGACATCTGTCTGTTTTTTGTTGGCCTCAGTGGGAATCGTTGCCGTACCAGTGAGCTTGAACAGAAATACTGTATGTGCTTCTGACTCCCCCACCCCCCATGTACTGATCATGTTCGGTCGACCTGTTCTGATCAATTTATGGAAGGTGCTGTTGTCAACAAAGATGGGCATCAAAAAACAAAGACCGAATGCTGTTAAGCACTACAAGCAAGTGTTCACATACAGAGTACAGAGACTAGGGCTGAACCATGAATGCAAAAAAATCATACTGTGACTTTTAGTTGGAATGGTTATTTTTGCATTTTCATTTCCACTGGGAAAAATATTACAATGATGATGATGATTTTTGTTGAGTCTGTACCAAACTAGCATGTCCCTTTACATCTGGAGAATATGATTTGTAAGGAAAAGTAATGCAGTTTCCTTGATTTCAATAGGCATTAAAAATAGGAATTGTAAAAAGAATATATAAATTAATGAATAATATCAACTTAAGATTTAAAAATGGATTTACAAAAACAGCCTAAAACACTCATTAATTACAAATAAGTAGTTATTTAGTCCCAAACTGCCTTTTCAAGCTGTTTTTCATATTCTAGTATTCAGTCATGAATTAATAAATGTATTTCTAATGTGTTTTTTTTATTCCATTTTTAAATCTTAAGTGTTTATTGATGGATTAATAGTTTATTTATGAATTGTTTTTAACGCCTATTAAAATATGAAATTATGGAAATGCTTTATTACTTTTCCTGTGACGTCCCTGGTCCTCCATAATCTCTGTAGCACCACAATGCTTCACTTAGGATTGATGATGTTGTGACACATTTTGCTTTTATCAAAAAATGGCCATATCGCAATTCTGATAATATTTCCATGAATTCTTCAGCCCTTACAGAGACGCAACAAAAGGTCTGTGTGAATACCAAAGCTACAGACTTCACTGTGTATGTCAAAGATAATTTATGTATTTGTTCACACAGTGATGTACTTCAGGTGACATGATGAGGGAGGGAAGATACCAGCAGTATTGAAATTAGATAGCTCATGTTGGAGTGGTAAATCCATCACCGCTAGTCCTGTTAGCTTGTAGTTAATAGAGAAGCAGAGTGTTTACTAAATTAAATGTCAAATAATAAACCAGCCAAATAAAGACTGACGCAAATATAACACAACCAAAATAAAAAGTTCCTCATTAATTTAATAGTTCATGAAGAGCAATTACTGTTGACTGACAAACACGCAGCTCTGAATCAGCCTCACAACGGCCCAGTGTTTGAGTCATGACATGATTCTGCTCCGGGCTCTACACCCTATTTATTTTCATCTCTGTGGCATTTTCTATGTGTCAAATATTTGTGTGTCTGTCGCCCTCAAAACACTCTGCATTCAAACAAGTGTGGGCAAAGCCCTTTTTTTCCCACTGGGACCGCACCTATCATTCCCATTATACACTGCAATGTGTACACACCTGAATGACAAACTTGTCCGCACACAGATCCACTATGAGCACCTGGGAAGACAGAGAGAAGAAAGAATGACAGTTACTGACGGCACAAGTTCACTGTTTCGCAATAAGAGTTATAAAAAGGTGAAGTGAGCCTGAACTACAACGTGTTCAGGGTGTTTCTCTGCCACGAGTCACACACTGTGGGGGCCCTACTGTGTCTTGCATCCTTTCACAGTATGAAGTGAATATACAACCACTGAAACCACTACACCAGACTATTTTCACATATTGGATGCCGATTTCAAAACATTTCAGCAGAAGTGTGACCCACCTCCTCAATGGGCAGCTCCAGCAGCTGCGGCAGGCAGGGTGCCAGCACCCCGATGAGGAATGGCGTTGGGGAGCAGCTGATGTCCAACATACTGGCCGGCAACACGGGAATAAAAGTGTGCTGCCAGGTGAATGGGTACAGCAGCGCCAGTGCTGCGTGGCCACACCGAGACAACACGCTGCAGCGAGGAGGGCAGGAGAGAAAAGGTTCAACACAAAAACACCATCAAAGATATCAATCACAGTTTCCCCAAAAACACTTGTCACACTACATGTAAATCTTTTCCACCACATGTTCACAGTGAACCAACTGTACAAGCGTTGAGCGAATGGTACTTGTGCATTGCAGAATTCTCCCAAAATGCAACTGGTTTATGCTAATACTCTTATTGCAAAACTTACTACTTTTATTTCTGGTGATACTCCCTTTACAGTCAGTAACCTGCATGTTGTGAGAATACTTCCTCCACCTCCTTCTGAATGGTCACTGCCCACAGCCACATTTTTCTCCACAAAACTCAGCACTTTTTCCCCAAAGCACACTAATCTCCACTTCCTATTATCTCCTCCATACGAAAAATGACTGGTCATTCATCATCATTGTTCTTAAGGGTTGTGTCTTCTCAGTTTCATACTGCTGCTATTATACTCCGCCGTGCAAAAACAACTCTATTTTTAATAACTAATTTACATCTCCTCTCCAAAGTCCCTGGAACATTTAATATCCAGTCAACAGCAGGATAATTGCATTTCTAATAACCTTTTTGAACCGGGTTTAGTCAGTTTTAGATCACCGTGTAGCAGAGACTGCTCCACCTTGCTGCTGTACACACAAGACACTCAGCATCACTGATCATATCTGTTCACTTGATCACTTGATCAGCAGCCAACAAAAACCAAGCACAGTCATGGTTTTGAGACCCTACTGAACAAACAGGTTACACTTGTATAGTGCTACTAGTACTAAAAATAATAAGAACAATAACATGACTGTTATTTTACAAGAATCAAGTTTGATATATTATTGAATTGGGTAACTATTGACCTAAATATATAGTAATAATACAGCACAGACACAATACTACATTAGCTTTACCCAGTGCCACAGTGTTTTTATATTACTGTTGGGTTATTCACTGAAACTAAAATGTGGTTATTTTGATTCAGTGTCGCACAACAAACTCAGGTTTTTTTTTTTTTTACCTTAAAACTGAACCAGATTTATTGTTACTTAATTCCTCTTATTTATTTATAGTACAAAAACATGTGCATGAAATTAAAAACCTGCAAAGGATTCACATTCACAATCAGCAAACAAATAATGACGTGAGTTTAAAAAGAGCTGTGGCAGACTGTAAGAGTTCACAACCATATTTTAGTTTAGAGTAAATAACCCAACGATAAGATGAAAAATAACATTAACACTGCATCAAAACAAGCCCCTTTGTCTTGTTTGGTGGGTCAACTGGTTCAATTTTGTGTGTGTTTTTATGTAATATTCATTATGAATTAATTTTCATCTAAGTTTATTGTTCAAAATGTGTGTGGTGTCTTGTATCCACTGATAGTGTCAAACGTGATTAAAGGTTATAGATTTATTCAGCTTGGAAAAAGTCAGGACCTGTTACTGTTGTCGTCACTGTAAGTGATATCAGACTGTACAAATAAACCTGACTTGACTTGTCATGGGGACTCTGCTTAGCATTTTGTGAAGCAGCACACTGAGGCCAAAGTACACACAGGAATCTATACTGGCCCTGGGCCTGTGTGACGTAATATAAAGCATCTTTTTTTTTCTTTTTTTTTATTGTTTACCTTGATATTTTCAACTTTCTTTATCATCCTTATAAATCCTGATGGTTAAGCGGCCCTGCAGCGTTATGTGTGTTTCACCCAGACGTACAGTACCTGAGTTTGTCAGCGATGAAGATGACTCTCCTCTCCAGCAGGAGGGAGGCGAACACCTGCAGGAGCTTCCCGACACCGAGACACTGCAGCAGACTGTCAAAGTCCACGTGCTCTAATCTGGAGTCCACAGGCCGACATAGAGTGAGCACCTGGCAGAGCGACAAGAGCATATGGACTCAGACCACACAGTGTAGATAAATGGCTCGAGCATGCAGTCATGTAGTGTGGAAGCCTGGAAGCCAGACTCTTCAGATACATCTATATAAATGTGGCTGGAGACAGTGGAGTATTAGTAAGTTGGCATTTTAAGCGCCACAACCAATTGATGAGTCACAAGGAAGTGATTTTGATTTTGCAGCAGCACCTCCTCTGAGTTTTTATGGGAAGAGTCGTTACTTCACTTATTTTGAGTCTGTAAACAGCAATGACTAACTAAATTACCGTTAACTGTTATAACATATATGTGTCCTGACATGAACCCTTCAAAACTAAAATAGCTATCCCTATTGTTTGCGTGAATAACCTCCCATTCTGGGTCACTGTGAGTCTGCAGAAAGGAGTGGTTAGAAGGAACAAAACTGCTAATTAACATTTCCTCTTTTCGTTTCAGGGTTACCTCATTCCCAGAGCCAGGGAGGAAGCTTTTGACGGTGACTGTGCGTCCGGGGGCTGGAAACGGCGCCTCCATCACACTGCGCATAAAAGGGTAAACGAGCGCCGGGGAAATCTCTCTGCGCCTCTCCACCTCCTCGAGAATCTGCACAGACAGAGCCAGAGAGATCACCGAGTGTCCCGAGGGAACTCGTGCTGATTAAAGTCTAAACAATGGAGCACAGGCAGAATGCAGCTGTGCACCTAAATGCAGTTTTCTTCCAGGCCGTATTCACACTTTCTGTTTGTAAATTTTTACACATGGGCGAGACACCGCTGCATACAATGCATACAATTTCTTTTCTTTTTCTTTTTCTTTTGAAAGACACACCCAGTACTTGTTCAGGATTATCTTCTAGTTTAGCCTCATTCCATCCTAATACACACAAGGAGTTTCCAGGCAACGGTTTTCACACACTTCCAAGGTGATTGGTGGATTGAAGTCTTCCACATCCATCTCCTTTCATCTCCCTACAGAGGCTTCTATGAGCAGACGCACTGTATGGTTACTTTACCTTTGCAAACAAGTTGAAACAGCCCAGCTTGCTGACAATACAGTGCACCTCAGGAAGCCTCTTCCCCTTTCCACTGGGCTTGAAGACACACATATAGTTTCATATGTCATAAAGCAGGTAACAGCAGATACATCAATGATAATGAAAATCATAAAAATCATAAAATAAATCAAATATAAACATACAGTGGGGTCAAAAAGTCTGAGAGAACTTTTCCATTCAAGTGAATGGGGAAGTGGTATCAGACTTGTATATAAACAGAGTACAATCAGGGCCACAAAGTCGAGATGTTATTTCCCTATTATGGTGTTTAATAGTATTTTCAATGACTAGAAGCTTTGTAGATGGAAAAAAAACAAAAGTCTAAAGTCTAAAGTCAATCCATGTTTATGAGAGCAGCTGTGAGCTTATCTACCAAAAACACAAATACATAAAGCTCTTCATGTTAGGTCCTAGCTCTGTCTACACTAAAGACAGAATAAATACAGCAAAACAAATGCCTAATAAGACAACAACAGCGTGTTTTCCAATAAAAATCAACACAAACAATAGAAGACAGATAAACATCTTCATTTCAACCTAAAAAAAAGTGTTTTTTCTTAAAAGAGATCTACGGTAAAAGCAGCTCTGCTTGTGAGGGAAAAGAAGGAAGAAAACGATGAAATTCTTCTTGCTCTCTGTCATTGATTCAGAAGTGGTATGGTCTGTGATTCACATGTACAGATCTCCTCAGAGATGTTGAGTAAGCATGTGGCAGGCTGCCATGTCATCGCAGACTCACACACTCACTCACACACACACACACACACACACTCACACATACACACACACACACACACACACACACACACACACACACACACACACACGAGCGCTTGAGTCAATGACTCACATGCAAATGTTAACTTATCTGCACTCACCAGGATCTTACGGCAGTAACAAAACCAGCGGCTGCCGTCTTCTCCGGTCAGCACAAAGGAGAAGGTCTCACTGCAGAAACACAAGATCAACACACAGGGGATGATTTAACATTTAGAGATAAAACACACAACTTCAATCAGCTCATTTGTGTTGACCTTCCTCTAATGAAAAACATCTAATAAGAATAAAAAACCAGACTGAAAAATATCTTTAGGGGATAACTTAATCTAAAAAAAATAATGTTGATTAATGTGAGAACTGTTTATTCCCTGGAGATATAAAGGTAGAGCATACAGAGAGTAGGTTTGTTTTTGTTGTTTTAAAGGCAGAGAAGCAAAGCACACTGAGATCATAACCCACATTACAACAATGAACCATATCAAGTAGAAAAAAAAAAGAGAATGCCCAATGTCCCTGAGCACTCAAAGATTTAATTAGACCAGATGAAACTTTAATGATCCCTGTGGGGAATTTGGGTTGTTGCAGCAGCGATTTATGGGTTACAGCTGGCAGCTGAGGATATAAATAGGAAGAGAGGAATTGGGGGTATTAAACATAACACAACTGATAATTATGGTGCCAGCACTTAGTCTAAATACTGTACATGAAAAAAGTTAATAAGAAAGAAGATACAGACATAAAGGAAATAAATTGGAGATGGAATACGGTATCATGTTACCATTACACCGCTGTTATAGCCTCTGTAAAGCAGAATACATCCAGCATGCTATTAAAATAATACTGTGGTGTACGAGCTGACCTTGGCATGTGTGCAGACGGCTTCCAGTCCTGCGAGTCGGGGAAGCAGAACTTGGGAATGACCTTCAGCTGATCCTCAGCTTCTCTGGAGAGCCGGGAGGACTTCTCAAACTGAAACAGAGGGACTGTAGTTCAGGACAGCACCATTCCTCAAATGACTTCCACAGGGACGTCAGGTGAGATCAGTCATTATTTAACTGCATTATGATATGATTCAGTTAGGTATAAGATATTAAAAGTGACTCATGCAAGGTTTAATTGAGTGATTTGACCGCTTGTTCTACCATATAGGTATCTGAGACTAAACTTTCTACAATTTCTTTCATGAAATCTCTTGGCTTATGTAAACCTGGGAAATTCTCCTTTAAAGGATTCCTAGTGGTGTATGATAAGAATCATCTTTCTTTCATTTTGCCAAACAAGATTAAGACGAGGATTGTCACACAGAATACCATTCAGTTAAAGTCTATTAACCAAAGCAAGAGTTATGACCTTGGCTTAGAGGAAGGGTGCTGTAATGTTACTGTAAAGTCTCTTTCTAACCATTTTGGGGAACTGTTGTGTAATTTCAGGGGAGTAGGTGTTTCCTGGGGAGCCTTTTCTCAGCGACACCACCACGAAGATCTGGAAAAGCTGCTGCTGCTGCAGCTGGATCAGGTCTCTCTCCAGGGTGCGGTATCCTGGCCGACGTTTCAGTGTAGACTGGATATAAACTGATCTCCTGGAGCCTGCTGGACAACACACGGCGAAATGATATGGTAATGCTTGTCCTGGGACAAATCTAATGTAGCACAGAGGAGCCATATAAAGCATTTTAAATATCAATATACAGCATGATTACATAGTATCCGAAACAGTCATGGCTAATCTCACAATGGTGGTATTATTCGAGTTTCTCATAGTTTGAACCACATTTCCTACAAACCTAATTGTTACCTCTTGCAAACTGAAAGTTGTTTGGATGTGACTTTGGTTTATTTGACTTTTCTGATGAAAATTTACAGTTGGCAAGCGAGTCTTTGGACATTCACGGTCCCCAGGGGATGAATTAAAACGACTCTGGTGATCCCGACTCTTCATCTCGCACCATCAATGGGTCAAAGTTTCAATTTGTGTAACACTTTTCGTTCGTGACTACCTACATACCTGCATAACTGATGACACTGCCATCTGCCTCAGCTGTACTTTGTGTTTAGTGCTAATTAGCAAATGTTAGCAGTGGCAGCTGTGAGCATGTTATCGCGCTAATTTTTAGCATTTAGCTCAAAGCACCGCTGTGCCTAAGTGCGGATGTTGGCGTTGCTGTGGACCCTCAGTCTTGTGTTTCAATTAATCATTTAGTCTTTAAAATATCAGAAAACCAACCCTCTCAGTTTCCCCAGGTCAACATCTTCATTGGCTTGTTTTGTCTGATTAACGACCTAAACTCCAAATTAACAATGATGTAAAACAGAGCAGCATATCCTGACATTTGCGAAGCTAAAACCATTTTTTATTTAATAAATGACTCAACCAATTACTCGAATTTTTAGTCATCTGACTTATTGTTTCAGTGAATTATTCTCTCATTATGGCTGTATGCCACTTGAATAAACAAATAAGTAACATAGCTGACATAACCTAGAACTGGAAAAAAAAACTTCCCTGGAGCTGATAAATGTTTCCCTGATGCTATGACTTTTTCTTTTGTTTCTTTTTTTCCACCAGGCAGCCCAGTGTTTATACTTAGGAATGTCATTAACAAATGCTGACAGATATAACCAGAGTTTCTTACTCCACATTAGAAAACTTTAACCTGAAAACCAGCCTTAACATAAAGGGACCTCGCAGACAGTTTAACTGTGTTGATACCTTTGCTGTTGTCCTCGGGGTCGCTCTCTGTCCCGCTGGTCTCCTCTGTTGATATGAATTAGAGGAGGGAGAGATTATGGAGAAGCAGAGGAATGGAAAAGACTTAAGAAGCCATAATCAGATGCAGACAGTCAGCCTTTGTTTCATAATCAGCGGCTTCGCCTGGTGCAGCTGTCCCTGTGTGTACCATCAAAAGCTGGGTATTTCCACCAAGAAGCACAACGTAATCTAATTGAAGCGTTGATGTGAGTGACATTTGCGACAGTCTGTGTGCATGTGTGTGTCATCTGTGTGTGTGTATGTGTTTGTGTATATATATATACTGTATATATATATATACCTCGCACTGAGACTCCCTGGTTCTTCACTCTCTTCCTCCCTCGCTTGTCGTCAAAGATGGTCTCAATCTTGTTGACGTACTGTGTTGTAAAACACACACAGGTATTTGTCAGCCCCATAATTTCACAGCCATTATAGAATCATGATTACAGGGAATCATGATATAACAGCCTCTAAGTACATAATTATATTATAGATTTTCAGCATTTCTTTTCTTCCACCCTTACATTCCTGCATTCTTCTGTTAATTCGCTGAAAGAACACAGCTGAATATTTGATAGTGGACAGAAACAGGAACATACAGGAAGCACAAACTTATCTTGAAGAGGACACACAGAGCTCCGCCGGTTGAAGAGGCAAACTTGTACGACAGTGTATGGGAAGAAACTAAAAATGCCCCTCCTAAGATAATAGTACTGCTGTTGAGCAGAAAAATACATAATGAGGTGTTATTATGTCTATGCCCGTTTCATTGTTTTGATTCCTTTGTGAAAATGTGTGATCACAAAGAGTTAAAGGACAGCTGGTTAACTAAATGTTGTCTTCTATTCTTACTTTTTCAGCTATATATTCTGAACTATTTGTCATTTATTAATAACATATAGTAATAAGAAATAGACAGAGCAGGAAACACATGCTAAAATACCATCCAAAAATAAACCTGATTGGTATTTGTCGAGCCTGCAGGCAGTGACAGTAAAAGTGCCATGTGGGTTTTGAGGCTATAATCCCTTTAAACTCGACAGATTTACAGATAAATGTCAGTAAGCCTGTTTTTATTACTGTACCTTATCGTTAAAGTTCCTCCCTGTCCACATGCTTTCCACTGCCATGGGTCGAATGTCTGAATTCATCTGTTCTGTCTGAATTCTAATGAAGCAGTCAGTCATACATCTAAACTAATCTAATTCTTTCAGTGTCCTCTCCTTCCTGCTCAGAAAGTCACCGCCCCCCCCTTCTTTTCATTACAACACAAAATGTGATTCATTGTCCAACACAACGAAAAAACATCTCACTCAGTCATTGCATTCAGATACACTGGGTTTGTAAAAAAAAAAAAAAAAACTGATGACAAGATCCTGCCATCGTTTACCTGAGGCATCCTCTGTGTTTTCTGAGTGCTTGTGCGCCGGGGTGTCGCTGGTTTGGGGGTTTCTGCAAGGGTGGTGGATTTGGATGCTTGGAACCCCTTCTTCTCCACTTTGCCAGCGTAACCTTGCAACGTTTGGGGTTTAGGAGGCAGCTGGAGGACAAGAACTGTGAGGTTATCACTTGCTTTTTCACAGATAATTACACAGTATCAAACTACAACACTTCCTACTTCCTCCCTTACAACCTCCGGTTAGGCAGGGATCATCTGGTACGTTCAAACAGGACTCATAAAAATACTTCTGTGCTGTGAGAGTGAGACGTAAGTGGAATATCTTCCATTACCTTTGGAACTTGAGGCCTTGCAATGGGTAGACACATGGGAGATAGCCTGACATCCTCATAGGGGTTATCTCTAGTGACTTCACCTGACGGAAGACAGAGCAATGGGAAAAGATTAGACATGCTGGCTGAATGTTTTACAGGGTGTACACAGTGAGGCATTTCTCCAGGAGCTAATGCTAGCTTTCCTGTGACAACAATTGACTGAGGTTGTCTGCTGTGGAAATAAAAAAAAAAGTTTCCAAGAGTTTCCATCTTAAAACTTGAGCAACTTATTCCTGTTTTATTTATTCCTCTCTGGTTCTGAAGTTGAAATAATTTCTTTAATTTTTCTTTAGGTGACCACGTTTAAACCTAGGAAGTGCATAACATCAGTATTGGATGGATACAGATACAGTTATTCATTGCAATATCACCATCTGTCTAACTACTGCCACTGGAGTTTACTTAACTGCTGTGCCTGATGCAGATGCAGAAGTCAAAAATAACAACGTTTTGTTCCAGCTTGTCCTGATTCAAACACTCGCCTTCCTATTTCTAGAAAGTATGTAACATACTTAGGACTCTGGTTGGATTCACTCACTTTTAATAAGACCCATCTATCAAGCAAACTGAAGGTAAAAATTGGATTTTTCCTCCTTAACAAATAGAGGGGAGCAGCATTGTGTGAATGTTTATTTATAAGGCCCTACTGCACACTGTAATTACAAATGGAATAAGCTCCAAAAAATATGTAGTTACACTCTCTTATTTCACCGGAACATTTAAAAAGTTTTACTTATGTATTTAGAATCACACTTGCACATGCTTTTCTTAAATGTGAAAAATGTATCATATATGTCTGTGAATTATCTGTGTGTCTGTTTTTAATGCCTGTGAATATCTGTGTATAAACTGTATATTTAATTTTTATACAACAGCCTTTCTACCTATTCAAATAGGTAAATAAACATCTGCAATATATTATGTTGCTATAATGTTATATAATGCTGATATCAGAGCGGCTACTGAGCAATTTTTTTAAGAAACTAGAAACTGCAACATCTTCAGAAATAACAATGTTATTTATTATGCTGCAATATAATACACTGAACTTCATTATTTTAGTGTTTGTATATATTTTTTTTGTAAGAACCTGCATGTTGTGTTTTTTGATGATGCTTGTCTGTCTTTTTTCCTATGCACCAATGAGGAGCAGAGCTTCCAATGATAATAAAGGCTTTCTAATTGGAACAGTCAGCTCCACGTCGTCTTCTTCAGTGTATATGACACAGGGAGCTCAACTCACAGACAATGTCCTCGTAAATATTGTCGTCAGAATAGGCATGGTAAAGGCCTGAGTTCCTCGTCTCATCTCCCAGGGTGCCTTGCGTCACTGTCAGACGAGCTGCATCCTCATACTCAAAGGACTTCCTGTGGCAGAAAGGGAAGAGAAGGCGGTGAGAATAAAGAGGGGCCTGGCTAGCATGCTATCATTTGCTCTATTGTTTTATATTCAGCCAATCTCTGGCCACAAAAGCCCTCATGGTTTCAAACACAGCAAGTCGTGGAGAGTGTGATAAACTATCATGAAAGGAAATGACTGAGCATGTGGTACTTAAGCAAACAATGAGAAAGAGTGTGACAGGATTGAGACAGAGACAGCAGCTGGCAATATGTCAATATCGTCATCTTCTTAGTGAAATTTAGGTCAATATGCAGCTTTCCCTCCCTGGAAGCTTTGAAAAGGAGGATGAAGCTACTGTCTAGATATTAGTTTGCATTATCCATCAACTGTTTTATAATGAAGGGTTCAGGTTGCCCCCCCCCTCAGTGTTCTGTCTGTAATACACACGGTACTCCTGTGTGTAAACAGTCAATCTGGCTCAGTGCTGAATCAGAAACTGTTACGTGATTCTTGTCCAGTGTGATGTAATACCTCGACCAATGGAGCTATTTCATAATACACGAGAATAGATGGACAGTTAATGGCTCTAAAGTTGGTAAACAAGGAGCCCTGTCCAACTCTGCGAACTGTGTGCAGACATGATTGTGTGAGCGACAGCCTGAAAAAATAAAACAAGTGTATGACATTGCCAATTTAAAAAAAGGTATAATGACAACATTGGACCACAGTTAGGGGTTCTTAAGGTTTGTTTTTACTGCATTTAAGAGCACAGTTAACGCAATTAAGCAACAAGCTTTAGCTAAGAAACAGCCACTGTGGCCACAAGAGGCAATTACAGGATAATGGGCCATCAAATTTCCACTTCATTTCCCAGGATTCTCTTGAACCAGTCGCTTTAAAAGGGCATCGTCATTAGGCGCAGTGTTGCCAGATTGGGCTGTTTTCTGCCCAGTTGGGCAACTATTAATTTAACTGGACATCTTGTGATAATCTGGGCTACTTCTTGTACCATTTGGGCAGTTTCCCTCGAATAAAGTTAGGCTATTCTCCAATAAAGCAGCCCCTCCTTTCCTGCGAGTAGTACAATGAGACTGATGGGGCACAGGGTTCAATCGGCTCGGCTCGGCGCACACCAGGGTGATGAGTGATCACCAACCAAAGAACAAACGTCATTTCAGTTCATTAGAAAAAGGGTGAAACCCCCCCCCCCCTTCATAGCTCTTTGATAAATTACACGTACAAAGCCTCTATCTGTTTATATGAGTGAAGTGTTATGCAATGTTATCTACAAGCAACATAATTTTTGTTACTGTAACCATGCTTTTGGTTTTGCTAATTATGTCAATACAACTATGTTTTTTAGCATTTTTTTTTTTTTCGTCATAAAAGCCCAGGGCTCAGTACATATTTTGCTGATTTTTCAAGTGAAAAGAAAAAACACCCCCTACAGCAAACAGACATTAAAACGTTGGCCTTTCTTCGAATGTTAATGCACCGTTACTTTTTATTGCATGAACTTCTGCTAAACCCTCCTGCAGGTCCCTTTGCAGTCATATGAGGGATTTGCTTTGCCTTCCTACACAGTGGACGTGCAGCCTTATCTGAAAGTTTTCTTGTTCTCGCAGATCTTGTCTTGACTGCCACAGTTCCCCTTAGTTGCCATTTTTTAATGACATTTCAGACGTTGGAAACTGCAATCTTTTTATAGCCTCTCCTGTTTTGCAGGCATCAATTTGCTTCATTTTCAGATCCTCAGTCAGTTGCTTGGAGCAGTGTTGAGTTGTTGAGTGTTTGAAGGTCAGATAATTTATCAGTTCTGGAAATGTCATCTGCCTGTAGTCTGTAGTCCTAATGACAATTCTTGACCTGCCGAGTTGATGAAGTCCTGAGAGTTTTACAAGTAGACGGGTGCAAAAACTTTTGGCAGAATTACTGTTGAATTTCTGTCTATTCTTTTTTTTTTTTTATGAAATAAAAAATTGAGGAAATGTTATTTTTTTGGATTTAATTCTTTTCACTTCAAAAATCAACTAACTCCTGCAATGAATCCCACCTTGGGGAAGGTTTTAATATTCAGTTTTTATTGAAATGAGAGTTTTAGATTCAACTTGGACAGTACTGTTTTATACTGACGGGTGTATCTATGATTTTTATCCACCCCCATTTAAATAAATGAAGGTTGGCTAAATAACATATAATGCAACACAGTTCAACAGCAAAACCCCTCTCAAACACAAATTGAACAGGGTTTATTGCAGGACTGCCGGTATTAGACTGCATTAGTTTTAGCTAGATGTACATAATACACCAGTAACTGAGTGTATACACACACAAGCCCTCTCCTGAATAAAAATAAGAAACTGAGTGAATGACGACTGGGCGCGTTTAAGACTAAGGTTGGGCTAATTTGCGTTTTTTTTCATTTACATATTTTAATCATCTACTGTCTATCTCTTGTCTATTTTCATTGTCCTTTTATTCACCCTTATTTTATTGTACAATTTGAATTTTTGTTGTAAAGCACTTTGAGCTACATCTCTTGTATGAAAACACTCTAAGAATAAAGTTTATTATAACAATTAAAAGGGTTAGGGTTAGTTGCTTTTAAAATCTAGCTGTACAGATCTTAATATTATAGTCACTTTTTATTGTGTTTGTCAGTAGTTACACCCTGGGTTACATTTTTGAGTTCCTGCAAACATAGCCTTAGAAACAGAAAATTAAAAACACCATATGGCTTTTGTTATTTCAATTTTGATTTTATCAGAAATGGAAAACAGCTTTGCATATTATTTTATTCTGTCAAAAAACTCCTAGACAGTGTTTAGATGATAATGATACACGACATCAGGACAGGACAGTTACAGACACCTACATTATTAGAAGTCACGCCACTTAATAAGTCCCGAGCTGTCTGTGTACATGGGTTACACTGTTATGTCTTGTTTTGTTTAGCCTTGAGTGAATATGCGTGTGTGTGCGTGTCTGCAGATGATGACCCTGGAACCCATGGCTGCTGAGGAACTAGGCCACGTCCAGACAATAGAGAACAATGCTGCCAGATATCATGTGACATCACACCTGGACCCAAGCCAGCAATTAGACTCTGACAGCACCCTCCTCTAAACTGCCCTAAAAACACTCCAGACCACAGTCATTGTCCAAAACAAAGAACAACTGCAATGTGTATTTTTACAGGTCAGTTCTCCAATATTCAATCAGCAGGAAAACATAATAAAATCTGAACTGTTCAATAAAAATTTAGAGGTTATTAAAAATGTATACTTTCGGGACTAAACCAATCACGTGTGCTCTGCTTTTAGTGCATTGACTCACCTGTTCTTTTTATGCCTTGAAAGCCCATCGCTCTTTGCAACTGGACATGGAGGAGGTGGGAAGCTAGGTGGGTGGGCCACCCTCCTGCTCCCCACATTGGAGTGGTTGTTATGAGGAGATCTTCTGTCCCAGCGCGCTGTGTGCCCCGAGTTTCTGTTGTTGTTGGCTGCGCGATACTGGAATGTCCGCTGAGGTTTGGGAGGAGGCAGAGCTTCACCTGAAGACTCCCTGCCTTTCTCCCACAGCAGTCTGTCTCCCTCCAGCTTACGCCAGAAACCCCGTGAAGTGTAGAAGTTCCCAGCGGGCATGTTGTCTTCTTGGTCATCAGTGGACAGAGGTAGAGGTTTAGAAACTACTTCCACATCCAAGATGCGATCCATTGTTTGGTCGCCATTGGCGGTGAAGGTTTGTTTACCTGTGGAGTTAGCCGTGTTAGCCTCCACTTTAGGAGATAGAAATATTTGTGCTGCAAGTGGTTTATTTCCTGGGGATGTGGCTGAAAATTCAGTGGAGCATTTCTTGAGATGTTCTGACTTCCTACCAACCACACCATGTCCAGCTGGTGCTGGGGATTCCCGAAAATCTAAGCCCAAGCTCTTAGTTTTTGAGATGCTGGCTTTTGCGTGAAGCCCCCCTCTCGAGCCCTCGTTGGAACATCCATTGCTCAGGAGATCCCCAGACAGACTTCGGGATACAGTTGGAGGGTGTGCTTTCACCCTGGCATCCGGGCTGCTGCCCTGCTGACTGCGACCTTCCCACTGTGAGATCTTCTCCCTGATGTTGACGCCCTGCTCATGGGAAGGGGGCCTCCCTGCCCCCCGGCCCTGCCAGGCCACAGTGGGCCCTTTCTGCGGGCGATCAACCTCACCACCCCCTCGCTTGCCCTGCTCCAGCCTCAGAGCCAGCATGTTGAGAGGGTGAGTGTCACCTCACCCTCAGTTCGCCATGACTGAAAGCATCAGGGATTTCCTCGCAAAGACGAACAGAAAAATTCACTTGATCTTGTATCAATTAATACAGTTATTGATCAGCAAAAAAACAGGAGCGTTACAACATTTGTGGTTGTAACTGTCAGTATGCGTCTTCTTGTGTTAGCAGAGTTTCATTTCCCCCTTGTCTCCTTTTGTAAACAACCTGAAAAGAAGTCAAGACACAAGAATTACCCATCAATCATTTTGCACTTGAAAACAAGTCCAGACAGCACACTGCAGGGTCAAAGGGATACTGAAGTAGTAACACGGGATGACACCGTTACTTTTGAAACATCACACATCTTCAGTTGTCTTCAAGGTGTAGGCAGGAACCGAGAGAAGGTCAGGAAGGACGGGCTCCTGTCAAGGTCAGTTTCCAAAAATAAATCCAGAAAGAAAAAAGGAAACACAGGAGCTGGAACATGTTTAGTGCAGCGTTCTGCTGCTCTGTGTCTGTGTCTGTGTCTGTGTCTGTATCTTGAGCCGCCCCAGCCCTCCTCCAGCCCCAGGGGAATTCTGCTTTCTCTCTAGCTGTTGTCCTAAACCGCAAAGCTGGCCAAATACAAAATGCCAATGATACAGCAAAGCATTAAATCTAATTCAGTGTTCTTGCAGAGCTGTCTTTCAGATGACAGGGAAGAATGCATATTTCTAGGTCTTTGAAAGAGCTTCGGGAGGCGAGAAAACACATGAATCTCAACGCATACTAAACAGCCAGTCACAATTAGGTGAATGAGGGACAACACTTTAACCACACCTATCTGCGCAGCGGAATGAAAGCTCCTCCGATGGACGAGCTATTCATCAGAGGAGAGGTTAAAACATACAGGACTAGAGACTCTGATTAAGTGAGGCCTCTGCGCTGCACGTATGGTATAAAGCTATAATCTTGCTCCATCTAATTAATGCTATTTAACACAGACAAGACTTGATGTGAAGTGTTGCAGCGTTGCATCTACCCCGACTCGTACTCCCTAAGTCAACATCAATGTAGTCACTGTACGCTCTTGCACTGCAGCTCCTGGCTTGCTGGAACCAAACCATTTGGACACGTTGCACATTACGACCGAGGCTGAGAAGAATCTGGAGAAGGGGAGACATGGTAAAATTCCACTGCACAGCTCATGATCATAATAACTCTATGAGCTGCATTCCTACAGAGCTGTATAAGGAGGGGCAGGGGGGGTGGGGGGGTGGGGGGGTCGTGGAATAAATTTAACTAGAGACAGTCGGTCAGTCAGTCTTGCATCCAGTGATGCCTTTGTTTGGTTTGACCTAAATCAAATGTATCTGTGCAGTGGAATGCTGCTCGATCATTGCCAGACCACGCAATGACAATGCGAGTCCCAAACTGACCCACTTGCATTACTTGTCTGTGTGCGGTATGTTGTACAGGAAGGCATGAGTTGCGTTTCCTGAACGGCAGGAAGAAGGATCAGCAGACTGTCCATAATTATTGTGCAGAGACATTTGCACCCAGCTGCAACCACTGATTTGAGCTATGTTTAGATCAACTATACTCAAACCCTGTGATGGTAATCAAACACTGAAATACCGTAGATTCAAAAATATACTGGCTAGTAACAGTGACATTTGCAAACACACATGTAAAGCTGCCAGTCGTCGTCCCCCCTTTTCCTGTGGCATACAGTTCAAAATCAAATGAGAGGCAAACTGTGAGGCGTTGTGATATCAAGTGACAAAGCCAGAGGGTGAGTTAAAAATGAACTCCACTGATGTTTATATGTCTGTCAACTGTGGAGAAAGGTATCCTTGTATTTTTTTTTCTTTTTTTTTGTGAAACTCACTGACTCATCCATGTAGAAACCAGTCAGGGGACCCATAAAGCTCCAGTATCCCATCATCACCTGGCAGCTAAATTAAACCTAATTGCGCCTTCAAAAGCACCACAAAACGCTCTCCTGAAGGAGTGCGGCAAGACCCAACACGTTGTAGGTGAGGCGTTGCACGACTGTGGTTTACCAACAACAGAGACAGTTAGAGCTATAATAGAAGAAAAATGTAGGTTTGCTAAATGCCGGCGTAAACGGACACACCAAGATAAAGTGCCTCACAATGACTGATCCATTATCAGCCACCAGAACAGCTTCTGTGCATCCAGGCAATGATTTCAACAGCTCTGCTGCATGAATGACATCTCACTTTTAACACGACACGTTCCATCATTTAGTGTCATTTGTCGCAGTATGGTGCCTAAAAACAGCTCCAAATTCTCTCATAAACTCAGACTAAGATATCCAATATGTCAAAACATTTACATTTATTTTGGGCCTACCATAAAATAAATGCAAGTCAGTTAATCGATATTGTCCCTAGAGTTGATTTCACTTTAGTGGAATAAACATCTCAAATGCTTTAAGTTGTAGTAGCTGTAGTTATTCTGTAGTCTGCAGTTATTTATTAGCTCAGCTGTTTTTCCTACACTTGCCAACACCTGCAGATCATTTCAATACAGCAGCTATCCTCTCAGCAAGAAGGTCCAATGACCTTAACTAACTCTGTGACTTGAATTAGCTGCTTCATTCCTGGTATTAGGGTTAAGGCTGCAATAAAGTAGGGATAAATGCAGGAGAAGAGAGAGAGAGAGATGGAAAAAAATGTCTATGTCTAGCTCCATGTGTGCTCACTCTCCGTTGTATGAGAAAAACACATCACTAACCTCCCTTCAAAGCTATAAAATTTACAATGTTCTTCCTAGTTGCAAAAATTGCACAACTTATGAATGAAACTCGGTGACTCATCTCACTCATTAACAAATAACCTGTAATTCGGCCTTAACAAAAGGAAGAAATTACCTAAAGTAGGTGGCTGGTTTACACTGCTCACTTCCAAACATCACGGTGAATGTGTCGGGAGACAGATTGCAGTTAGCCACAGGAATAACGTTTTGGTTACCTCTAAAAGTTCACATTTGTAAGAAAACAAACGCTGTTTAGATTATTATATGTGTGCCGAATTAAAAACACACGAAATGCTGATATAGAAATCGGCTTGATACTAATATTATAATATCAATATATTTGTAGATCATGAAGTCAGTTTTAACTAGCCATGTTTTCAATTGAGTTTGGTTTGACTTTTCACTAAATGAAGAAACCGCAAGTATTGGAAAAATGTAGCTTAGCAACAATTACGTAACTTTAGTTTACTTTATGTAATTAAACACAACAGCTCTGAACTCATTTACCTAGCAGGCGTTAAAGCCACAAGAGAAAGACAGTGTCAGACAGTTGAGTGATAACGTTTAAGAGTGAGTATATGACCGTTGAAGCCAAACACCGCATGAACAGTTACATAAGGTCTATTTTTCGTGACTTACCTTTTGTAGTTTTTTTTTTTTAAAATGAAGAGAAAAAATCTCCTTCTTTCCTCATTTTCCTTTCGATAAAATGAAAAAACAAATCAAATGCAACTCCACTCGCTCGCATCCTCCAATCTGGAGAGGTTAGCAGTCTGAAGAAGTTCAAGCTAACTTTAATTCAGCCGCACAGCCGGTTGTTGGCAGCTGCTCAGAAAATAAACTTTACAGGGCACAAAAACGTGTCGCCCAGTCTAATAACTACACACAACAACAAAGAAAGTGGCCATAACTAGAGAAAAGCAGAACACTCCTAGCCCTCCTTCTCAACACAATTAGCGTCAAGTCGGCGAAAGAACATGTGACTTCCGGTCGGAAATTCCAAAATAAAAACCTTCATTCAAACTTCTATTAACTTGCAGGATGAAAATACACAATTTATTATCTATATTCACCCTGAGAATTTTTCTCCATTTATTTTTGATAACATGTTTTTCAGTGTCATGTAAACATGTTAAACTATATGGGTTTTAAAGGCAATTACATTTTAATTAAAAACTACATATGTAGACCAAAGTTGTGTGGTTATTCTGCATCAGCGTACAGAGTGATTATATCATAAAGCGACTGGACAGGTGATTGTCAGCAGCACCTGTCACTGTCCTGCGAACACTAAAATTCCCATTTCAAATGATAATGAAAAGAGTAGAAAAAAATGAAAAATAAAAATAAACTGAAAAATAAAAATCAACAGAGGACTGGGGCTTCTAACTCACACTTTATATAATAACTTAGCGATTAATTGCTATTTAGAATATGGTCAGTTCAAACTGCGCAGAAGTTGATGGTAGTTAACAATAATTTATTTTTTTTTTATTGTTTTTTTTTATTTATTTATTTAAGGCAATATAAGCTTATCTGAAACCCTACTTTGCCTACTTGTAAGTAAATGTTTATCTTTTTATTTTTTAAGACTATATACACAATTAATCGTAGACTAATACCAAATCTGTTACATCTATAATTTACAGCAGTTTATTATACAATTCACCTGACTTCCGGTTTAACTCTCCGGGTTTCCATCGAACTTGACGCAGCTGAGACTGTGAGAAAGTCTGTTTGAATCCTCCCGATTCAGGAGGGAAGACGTCATCATATCAACTCCTGCAGCTGTCAACGATGAACAAATACTGTTGTCTTCAGGTGTCCTGGGAAATATAGACACTGTGTTATAAACGGCACCGGCGCCACTCCACAAGTTAATAAACATGACCGGGGCTTTATTTTCATTCATAAAGTCCCGTGAGAATGATTGACAGCGTTGAAAGCGTTTAAAACATAATTTGATTCACCAAACTCAAACTGACGTAAGAATAAATGTATATTTTACAGCAGGTGCCATTTATCAAGAAAACTATAATTTTAACAAATCATATAGGCCACAAAACTATAACCTCAAGGGAATATTACTCTTAAACTCTGTGATGTACTTTTGCTCTTTAGACATGACCTCGAAATATATCTCAGCCATAGAACAAGGTTCTGCTAAGATATGCAAAATGCTGACTTTGCCATTCCGGTTAGGATGTTCAATAATATGGGCGGTGTGTTTTTATTGGAAATGGCAGACATCATGGAGGCTCTGTCAAAAGGTGATGGTACAAGCGATGCATTATGCAACAACTCAGACTCATAACTTCATTAAATTTGCATGACTGATGCACATTGATGTTCCCATCCTGCTGATACAGCTCAAGTGGTTATACAGTGAAACTTCTAAAGGAATCAACATCCATCTGAAAACTTCTTTCAGTGCACAGTGGACAGTATAAGAAACACGATGATGGATAAGTCATAGCAAGACTCACAGGTCAGAGGGTTATGAGGAACGTCTGAAGATCCTGTTGTCAAATAAATAGTGTTGTGATGCAATAATGATTAAATTATGAGATGCATCAAAGGGGCAAATACCACACATAGAAACATTTGTTTTTTCACATTTTATTTCTTTTCATTCTCATACATGATGTTTCCCATTATACTGTAACGTACATGGTGATTAGAATTAAGATGTACAAGTTTCTTCTTGCAAAGGAGAGAACATCAGTGTGTTAGAAGGCGGGTTTCTTTAAGATTCACTTGTTTAAGAGTTTCTGTGTAAAACAAATTTAGAAAGGTTTTCTACATCATAATAAAGATGAGTTTTAATGGGGCGTATTTTGAGTGTGTTTACTCAGTCTTCAGGCCCTCCTTGATGAGGTTGAGCTCATAGCACAGGGTCTCATAGCGATATGCCATACGGATCTGGGCCACGTTGGTCTTGCGGATGTCGTTGCCCTCTGGACCCTCCTTCAGGTAGTCGTGACCCAGGCAGTGCAGCTTCTCCTGAAGCAGAAAAGAACCAGCACGTTATAGTGTGAGTATAAATCACCTCTAGATGGAACATGATGTATTTTATTTTATTATTTATTTTATGATTTAAGAACAGTCTGTACAGTGTGAGGATAGAATCTGTGTATTTATCAGATGCAGAAGCAGAAGCACCGCTACAAATACAGATTTTCACCAGTGATGTTGCCAATATAAAAAGAAAGAAAAATCTTACTGGATATTTATTAAACGTGTTTATTTAAATTATACCATATTTAAAGCTCTCCATTACCTCATGAGACATGGCACTCTGCAGCACACTGTTCCTGGAGATCTCACACATGTCGCAGGTGCTGAGCTTGAAGACCTGGGCTGCAATGGCGTACTCTTCCATGAGGGGTTCCTGTGGACATTAAGGTCACATGTCATTAACATCATTAAGCAGTTAATCTTGCACACATCTAAATCTGCATGCTCTACATATGACATTACCCATACACAGATGTAATATATCTACATGTATTGAATTTCCATATATGAAATATATGTACATATGAAGTAAAATCACATATATGTACATACATGTATATATAGCCTATGTTTGTAAAAATGACATATGAAACCTGTTGGAAATTTCATATATTGACAGTTTAGTATGTATGCTTAAGTTGTAGACATATCTTACGTAAGTATATCTATCCCAAAGCCTGTCAACATATGTTGATTTTAGATATGTAAATATAAAATGTAGACATGTATGTTTAAAATTAATAAGAAATTAATAACAAAATCATGTATAAACATATACAATTTAAATTATGTTTTAAGTATGTTGTTTTGATTTCATATATGTTGGATATTTATATCATCATATCATATTTGATAATAATTAATCCCCTTACAGGCGACATATATGGCAACATCTGTCCCGATATAGGGGCATAAATGTCATATATTACATCTCTGTATGACGCCTGTGCATGTGTTTCCAATGAGCGTTCATTCAAAACCTATTCCTTTGTATTTTCGTTTGGATGTGCTGTAAATGACTTTGCCTGTGGAATATAAACACAAAAACTAAAATGCACAAGTCCACAATAAGTACACAATACAATGCCCATTATACGCAGCACATTGTGCACCATTGTCTACATTCTCATCAAAGGCCTTCTGTCCATGCGCTCAGACCTTGGTGTAGTGGAACTGCATGGGGTCATCGGTGGACAGAGACACGACCAGGCCTTTCTTGTGGAACTCCAGCAGCGGGTTCTTGGCGTACTCCAGGAACAGGCTGTTGTTGCTGAGTGGGGACATGGCGATTGGGATCTGGGTCAGGAAGTACAGGTACTGCAGCACAGGGCTCTGGTGGTGGAGGAGAGAGAGAGGTAGAGATGATCAGTGGCAAGTCAACGTATGACTGTATTTGTCAAAGCCTGGAATTTTGACTTGTTTTCTGGACTTTTATTTATGATAGTAAAGCAGACAATACTTAAAGGGCAATAGCTATTGTATTAACTGCAAGACATTAGTATATCACTTGTGCAGTTGTCCAAATATCCCCTTTACGAATTTGCTCTTTTACAAAACCTGCTGTCAGTTAAAGATTGGTGCAATAACCCAATAACTGAACCCAATAAATGGAAAGAAATTCAAGGTTTTGAAGTAAGATTCAGGATAACGACCACTCTTATTAGCAAACCTGAAGTGTTACTTAACATTTCAGATCTGGGTTTCAAACCTTAGACCTTAAAAGGGCATTTCCTCCCTCTCGGACCTCTTTATGACTGGGGTCTTTATGGTCCTTTAATCAGAGAGCGTGAAAATACAATATAACCTTAAAGGACGTATTTTGGTACTTTCAGATATGAGGTTATATCAAGAAAAAAAAATTCTTTGTTAAGTGGTTTTAATGTCTCCAGCATAGAAGACACACCAGGCAGTGCCTTATACAACATTATGAGAGATTATTAATCTGTTGGTGTTCAGGAACTGGGTGTAGAAATTACAGAAGACACAATATGGGGAACATTACACACACAAAAAAACAAAACAAGTAATCCAATGAGTGCATGTGTCTTCCCAAATTTAATGAATCCATCACCAATGTGCCTTAAAGAAGATATATGTAGAGATATGACATCAATCTTTTCTTATTATGGTCATATTGTGTTTTAGGACCATGGAAACCTAAGTTAGGGCTCCTCTAGTCTGACACCTAGAACTAGTGTTTGATCATGTGTAAATGATTTTACACTGTGTGTGTGTGTGTGTGTGTGTGTGTGTGTGTGTGTGTGTGTGTGTGTGTGTGTGTGTGTGTGTGTACTGCTGAATTAAAGTGTGAAGTGAGACGTTGCATCCGAGCTGCCTCATAGAGAGAGAGGACTGACCTTCTTGAGGTTCAGGCCGTGAGAGATGTTGTCAGCGGTCATGAAGGAAGCCAGCAGATGGGTGACGGCACCGGCCTCACCGCAGTGAGGCCTGAACATGAACGTGTTCATCCCCCTCTGTCTGGAGAGCAGAGGACAAACAAGTATTATATTACAGAAAGGAGAAATGTTCTTAGAGGAACTTGTCCTCTAATCGTCAAATATGCGCTCACTGTGAGTATTAGGTATAGAGAAAAAGGTGAAAGCATCAGGGATATGGATACAAAGTGGGAGCAAACAACTCTCAAAATAAAAAACAACAAGTATTTAATAATCATATTCCTGCATTAAAGTAAATACAAACAAAGACAAACCTGTGTGTATGGAAACTACGTCACTTACTTGCGGAGCTGGTTGAGCACAGCGATGTTTGCATACATGTAGTAAATGTAGTAGGTGTAGGAGGGGTTCTTGACGATGTCCCACTCCTCTGGCTTGGGGCTCTTAGTGGAGAACATGTGGCCGCTGTGCTTGGACTCGTCGTCCACACTGTCGAAACCTGTCACC